GAGGAGGCCCCGGCAAGCCTCCCCCCCCCCCCCCCCCTCTTTCCCTCCCTCTTTCCCTCCCTCCCTCCCTCCGGGAGAGGGGCGCGACCAGCGGGTTGCCGCTGGCTAGCTGCTCCCTCCCCTCCCGCCGGCGCTTGGGCGACCCTCCTCCCTCTGTCGTCACGACACCTCTTGACTCTCTCGTCTCGAGGCGTCGCCCGTACGATGACGTCACCGTGTCTCAGTGTGTGTGATCACGTTGCATCCACGCGAGAGCGTCTACTATGTCAACACCCCACAACAGAACACCCCGTTCGTCACTAGTGTCTGATGTGTGTTCTCCGGCTGTATATTAAACGCGAGCAGTTGAGACCTGGCCATGGCCCATGTGCCGCATCGCGCATGCGAGAAGTTTACCTTACCTAGCTTACCTTACCTTACCCATGCGCTCCACCTGTGCACCTCCTTCTCCATGTTGCAAGACGACGAGTATTACCTATACGCGGCTAAAGCTGTAATGCGCGCACAAGCTTCCTCTTCATCCTTGGCATGTCAGTCGATGTCACCTCTTGGAGCTTGGTGCTTTTGGACTTTGCTCCACGGAACCACACATGCTCGATCGGATCCAAAAACGAAAAAGCAAGATGTTCAATGTGGGGAACACACAGTCACAGACCCTCTGGACCCCCGTCCCCCGCGCGCGCACCCACGAGTCGAGCACGAGACCCCCGGGCGTGTCGACCGCGCTCTCCGGAGAGTGTCGGTTCCCCGGGAGACACACGTTCCCCCGGCGCTCACAAAAGCCGCCCGCCCCGCGCCCTGCCATCTCAGGCATCGTCCTCCCTGTATCGCCGCGCGATCTCCGTCATGAAACCAACCTCGGCTGCGGGCTCGAAGCCTTCCAGCGCCTCACCAAGCAGCAAAAAGGGGAGCAAATCGCCTACACCCACAATTCATGCGAGAGGAGCGGCTGAGATGCAAACTGCTGCTGCGCCGCCGACAGTGTCTGCAGCGCACCGCAAGGCGCTCGCCGCGCTAGCTCGGGCTCAAGGAACCGCCAGGCGGCCACGCAGAGGTACGCGGACCAGCTGGGGCCGGCGAGCAGGGGGAGAGCGAACGCCTAGCCACGCCCTCTCATGTAGCTTGGCCACAAGGCTGTAGGACGCGTGCTCTGCGTCGGCTGCGGGGAGCGAGGCGAGATGCGCATGAAGCTGCGCAGCCAGCTCCTCCTCTGTCGGCCCGCTGGCCTGCCCTCCACCGGATGAGGCGGCGGCAACGAGCTGCCGCTGCGCTCGCGACGCAAAGGCGGAAAACCGCCTCGCCGTGTCTTGAAAGTCGGAGGAATCGATGAGGCTGTCTATCATGGTGAGTGAACTCACGGGCGGCACGACGTTGGCGAGCAGCCCCGACGGAACCGGAGAGTGGTTGGCGGGCGCTTTTCTCAAACTGTAACGAGAAAGAGAATTTGGGGGAACAAAGCATACGTCATACCTACCTGACCTTCCGTCGATTCTCGGTCGGCCAACCAAAGCGCCACGGTGGCCGTTCCCCCTCGACACAGCCCAGGTTCAATCTGGGCGAGGCGGGAGGCTGGCACGGCGAGCCGCAACGGCCCGACGAGAGCGGACGCAACGAGCGGCGATGGTTGGGCGAGTCGCGGCGGCCGTAAGTTCTTATTTCCCTCGGCACCCACAGACCACACCGCTAGAAAATAAATGAAGGTGGCATCGCGTTCGCGCGCGTGAGGAAGGAGCGGGACGCATGTTTTCTTTTTGACCTGGACACCACGGTGGCACCTCCTATGTTATACAGGATGCATCTCACCTTCATCGCCGTGACCGTCGCCGCGGCGAGCGGTCTCCACCTGCAGCCTCGGTCGCCTCCGACGCGTGCCTTTCCGGCCATGACGGCCTTTCGCAACACCGACGAGCCCGTCATGCCTCGCAACGGCAGCTTTCGGACGATCTGGCGAGCGCCGCCACCCACTTCACTGCACTCACCGTTGCCGCGGCGTCGCTCGAGCAATGGCACTCGCGACGCCCTTCGCTCGACGAGCGCAACAACCCGTCGGCTCTCACCCACGCTTCACTCGTTTGTCACATTGCGGCTTGAGCGCCGCCCCGCTCTCTCCGCAGGGATCTGCCGTGGCTGGCAAAATTCCTGTCGATGTGGACCAACGCGGTGGACGCAGAGCTCGGCCGGCAGTACGCGCTGCGCGACGCGTGCGCCGAACTCAACGATGCTGCCGACCTCCCGGCCGCCGCGCCAGCGCCGAGCGAGCTGAGCGTCGGCTTTGCGGCGGCGATAGAGGGCCTGCCTTCAGAGGCGGACGAGGCGCTGAAGGAGTTTGTGGCGACGGAGAAGGCGGCGGAGGAGAAGGCCGTCACCGCGTCCCGCGGCCGCGGGGGCCCCGCCACCATTCGCCGCGTGGGAGCCAGCCAGAGGATCTCTCCTCTGACCCTTCCTGGAGCCTGTCCTAGGCACCGTGACGATGATGGCGGCGTGGGAGCCAGCGTGGGAGCGGGACGAGTGGGCAATCGTGGAGGGTGCGGAGAAGGACGCGGTACCGCTCGAGCCGATCTGGGGAGACCCACGCGAGGGGAAGCCCTTTGGAGCTGCAGACGGTGAGATTCGCCCAGATTCGCCGAGAGCACAACGCGATGCGAGGCCGTGCGGGCTGCGCAGCGGCAAGAGTGTGTAGGAGTAGCAGTAGGGGCGAGTGGCAAGGGACGGGGCCGGTACACAAGCGGCGGAGCTCGCCTCTGCGAGGCTGTCTCTGGAGGAAGCTTCTTCTGAACCCTGAACCCCTCCCCCCTGCAGGCGACGGCAAGGTCGGTCCGATGGACAAGCGGCCGGCGGGCGGAGTGCGAGGGATGGAGGGTGGAGGTGTGCCCGTCCCACGCGCCATCTCCGGCTTCCGCACCGCCGCTGAGGTCCTCCTCTCTAGGAGTGCGACGCGCCGTGCTGAGAGAGACGCTGCTCACAGGCAGCAGCTCTGAGAACAGGCGACGTACATCGAGGAGTGCGACGAGCCGTGGCACTTCACCTCGCGCGGCACCACCGTCCTGACAAAGGCCCCGGCCATAGAGGAGGGGGTCTCCACACTCCTTGATATGTCCATGACGTGTCCACGACACGGCCAGGCGCGGCTCGAGGAGGGGGTTGCTGCGGCGCTGCCCTTCGTGGCGCCCGAGCAGGGCACTCGGCGACGAGACACGCGCACTCCGCCCCACTAAGCACGCACTCGTTGATCAGGCGCCCGAGGACACGCTCGGCGACGAGACACGCGCCGCAAAGAGCAAGGAGGAGGCGCGCAAGCCGCTCGCGTCCACGACACGTCCCCCATGCGGCCGCGAAACTCGTGTGGTGCCCCCCCCCCCCCCTCCAAAA